TCCCAGTTCAGTGGAGCATAAACTGTTGTGCATCGATATTTTTCTTGCTTAAAACCAGAATCAAAATTAGGTCAGATAGAAATACTAGAATTTGCAGTACCATCAATTTCTGTGCGAGATAATCCCTGAGGAAACAGCAAAACCAAAACACCCTGGCAGGGTTTCCTTCCAACATGTTTGGTTGGTTTTCCAGTTCTGTTCAGATCTGGTTGCCACAGTTACCCACCATGTGAAATGAAGAGGAGGGTGTCCATTTCAGCCCAAAAGATCTTCTTTGCTTCAAAATACTGGACTTTTGCTTATGTTACCAACCACAGGTGATTTTTTTTTAGGTAATAATCTTTAATAATCTTTTTTGAGTTGCTAGGGGTTTCTATTTTTTGACTTCTTGGCTTCTGCATTGAGCCAAACTTCAGTGAACTCAAAGAACACTGCAAGGGCTCTATTCATCCTGAAAACCTAAATAATCCCTGTCATATAGCCCCAAATATCTCTGTCTCTTTAAAAATAAAGACAAATATCACTTAGAGGTGTGAGAAGGACCAGGCTCCCCACTCCTCCCTCATCCCTTGTCCTATCAGTGATTCCCAGCTCTGTTTTTTGGCATCACTGACTTCAGAGGGGGCACAGAGGAGCTGAAGGTGTCTCAGCTGTGATCTGGAGCTCCCTGGCAGGGCAGCTCGTGGTAAATGAAGGGTGTCAGGCCCCCAGGATTGCCAAACTGGTTGCTTTAAAATAGCAACTAAAATAAAATTATTGAGAGCTCCTAAACCATGAAACTTCCGTGGCAGGAGGAATAAGCTCACGGGAGGAAGGAAGGAAGGATGGATGGAGTTGCAGACAAGACAACAGATGGAAGAAGGCCAGTGCTTAGCCAGCTAATAACCATAAAGATTTAATGTAAAGAGCAAACCCAACATCCTCCAGGTGAGTTACCTCTCTGCTGGTCTCCTGTGCACCAGAAGTTTCTCAGCCTGATGTCTCTTGTCCTTGTGAGATTCAGGCTGAGCTGAAGGGATTGTTGCAGTTCAAGGCACAGCCTCTCATTTGGTCACTGAGCAGCACATGTAAGTCCTTTCTCACACCAGCCCTTAATGTGAGGCTGTTTATTATCCAGTATCTCAGTCAGTTCCTTGATTTACCTGGTCTAAGGAGTGATACAATTGCAGTGTGCTTCCTTTGGAGTGGATGCTCTGCCCCTTCTGGTCCTTTCAGCCTTTTCTTCCTCTTTGTTAGAAAAACAAACTGTTTTCTGTTTATTGCTCATCTATTCTCCCCCAGTTTTTTTTTCCTGATTTGCCCCCAGCATGTCTCCCCTCATTCCTTTCTGCTGATCAGCACCCTTGGTATGCTGGTGGTACAAAGTCAACCCCCCCTTCATGTGATGGAGTCACGAGGAGCTCTGCCTTCCTCTGTTTTTCAGCACCATTCCACAGAAAAAAGAAAGAACCCTTTTATAAAACAGGTTTTAGGCAGTAATTTTCAGGTGAAACAAGTTTTCAGTGAAAGGCTTTGTTTTATCAGCTCTAAATACTTTCTGAGAGTGTTCCAGCCCCCCTGGAACATTCATGCTTGAATGAGAGGCAAAAATGTTTCTATGAAGTTAATGCTTTATTTATTTATTTAAACAATAATTTCATTCAACTCTCATTTTTTAACTTAAAATAACTTATTTCACGATGTCCTTTTCTTAGGTATGAAAATATTTAGGAAAATTCTTTTAATAAATTGAAAGAGACATAAACATTCTTTTTTACTTTTGCCCATTAAAAGCATATTTAGGTTGATTAAAAACATACTGACCATAGGAAGTTTTTTTTTTTAGTTTAACTTCCACAAAAAGCACCAGACAATGAGTTTGCATAGGGTTGGCCACAATATGCTATTGGAAAACTGCTGGGGATTTAGCATCTCAGAAAACAGGTAGGGAAGTCCCTAATTTCTGGCATGTGAAGTCACTGCCAGGGCTGAGATAAAAGGAAGCAGAAGGCTGGCACAGAGGTTCACACCTCGTGGCTGGAAGGAAGTTTGGAAAAAGGCGTTTCAGAATTTCTGTTAGTAAATCTGAGACAAGTCAGTCCTTTTAGCCTAAAACCCAGCAGGCTGAGATAATAGGGATTGTTCAGCCTGGAGAGGAGAAGCTTTGGGGTGACCTAATTGTGGCTTTCCAGTGCCTGAAGGAGCTACAAGAAAGATGGAGAGATATTATTTACAAGGGCCTGGAGGGACAGGACAAGGGGGAATGGCTTCAAACTGACAGAGAGT